GCCTCAGCGGAGTGTCGCGCCGCAATCCTCTGATACTTGGCGAGAGAAATAGCCTGTGAATGGATGTTGATGAGGTCGGATCTCATGGGTTCAGGAGATGATTCAATGAAAGGAAGGACTTGATTCCAAAGATGACGCTGAAAAGCGCCCATAGTTGCTTGATAACTGATGCTTCTGAGTAAGAAGGCTTGCAGAGAGTAAATTCGTTTGGCCATCGTGTTGACTTTCCTGCCGTCCTTATTGGCGAGGGTAGGTTTGGACTCAGCCTGAGTTCAAGCCTGACTAGACTCGACAATGATAGAATTAGGCATTGGATGTTTGTTGAGGAATTTGGCATTGGCACCATGGGTCCTATAGAGGCCATCGGTGCGGCGAGAGATCTGCATGATTGAAGGGGGTTTTCCCCAAGTGTCCTTGATAAGTTGAAGGATAGACTTGTTAAAGGGGAGACTCAAAGGAATGGGATGCTCCTGATTAATATCATCGAACACCGGGTCGGCATCAGCTGACGGGGGTTGTTCAGTGTCGAGATTTAGGGCTTGTGCCATCTGAAAGATGAGGGTTGAATAGGAGGAGAAGTCATCCGAGGAAGATGAAGCGTGGCTGCCCCTCGTATCTGGGATAGGAAGGGGAAGGTCGGGCTCATGGGAGGACTGAGAGTGTTGTGCCTCCGAAGATGCAGGGGAGCCTGGAGACGAAGGGTAGTCCGATGGGCCAAAGCCTTCCATCGGGGGAGCTTGATGCCCTTGGGGTGGCAAGTCTTCGAAAGGGTCCTGAGATGTCACTAGGTCCGGTATCAAGGGTGGAGGACGCACTGGTAGGGCCTCGCGAACCTTGTCTCGCATCCGCTTAGATGGGACGAGGGGGCGAACGGGCGGAGCCAAAACTGTCTGGGCCAAGCAGTCGCACGGAGGCGGCTTGAGTCCACAAAGGGAATGGCATGGGGGAGTTCCGGCGTCGTTTTTGGCCGTTTAGCCTGCTCAGGCTGGAACCTCTTGTACCAGGATTGCCACATGAAGGGGTCAAAATGGTATGATACCACTGGAAAAGGGCATAAGTCGCCCTGCGATGGGACCGACTTCGGTGGAGAGAGGTGCTTTCGTTTCTCC